CCACGCGTACCAATGTTACATAATTGCGGTTAGACTTGTCTTTGAAGTGCAGGTGCTCGCTCCTGGTTGTTAAGAATCAAAGTTAAAAATAATTATAATTTAACGAAAAACAAAATTGTATTCAGACAAGAATCCCTATTTTAGTATGGTCTTTCATGTGGTGAGGTTCAGTTTTAGACAAATATAATATTTTCGCACTCGTTCCCAGTCTCCTTTTGAGTTTCGGAATGGACAATTTGTCTACACAATCAATCTTCGGGTTGTGTTGCCATTGGCGGCTTGATTTATATTCCGAGAAGAAGAGGGCATATGACGAAAAACCATGTGCGATTTGTTTTTTTTTTTTTGCCACATTTAATAGAACGATTTCACATAACCGGTTAAAAATGCTAATGAGGATCAATAGCCGAGTTTAGATATTTTGGTTCAGTCGGACCATGCACAAAAGAATTGCAGACGAGGCTCCGGGGAAATAAAGAATAAAACGATATYATRCKYTCTTTGATTGGTCATTTTGAAGCGTGCACTTCAAAATAACTCTTTGCAATATAAAAAAAAATAAAATCATCAATGGATAATCTTGATTTATTTTTATTTCCCCGGAGCCTCGTCTGCAATTCTTTTGTGCATGGTCACTGAACCAAAATATCTAAACTCGGCTATTAATGCTAAAACACATTACATGATAACAACAGCTTGTATCAAATTGTTGTCCTTGTTTTCAAAAAAATAGTCACAAAGTGAGCAGGAGCACAAGTTTGTCTTAGAATGCTACCAAAAGTGCAAGGGGATAGTCAACACTTGCCTCCCTGATCTAGTTAGAGTAGTAATGTGCAATTAATCACGAGACTGAWAGGAATAATCAAAAAGACCATATCTGATCCAGTACACACCACAGCACAGTGCAAATCAATTSTGAMAGAAYKACSAGAACCAGAAGATAATTCAACGCAATAGCTAGAAATGAAATATGCAGGCAAGAAGACACCTAAAGAGAAGAGAAAGGATGCCTTGAAGAAAAAGCTTTAGTGTGATTTTTAATGTTTGTTATGATTTAATTGTTATTGAAAACATATATAGTAAAGCGTTCATCAATATCCTCATTGTTAAAATGTTTTCGTACGTAGGATTCATTATAAATACTAGGGTTTTGTTTCTTCTGCGTGTGTTTTAATTTTCCGAGCTTTCGGACAACTTGTCCATCATCAGGGCAAAATGAAATTACAATGCGTGCGCGAGGATACAAATGTAAACAAAACACTATGGTAACATAACTGCTTAAGAGCGCGCAATGGTTCAAATCAATTAACATACTGCGCGTGCATAGAATTACACGAAAAATCATTGGATTACAATAGAAAGGATAGAATATTAAGACTAGTTAATATGTTAAGAGTTCTTTATAAGAATCAGGCAGAGTTCGTCCACTATTTTTGTTAAAAAGGCAGTTTTTGTTCTTTGAAATCTTTATAGCTTCAAGCCAGCGTCTTTGTATCCATCTAGGTTCTTGGGCGAGGATTGAAGACTCTTGCCACGCGATATCATGTCCTGTGTGGTTAGCATGGTCTGCTAATGCAGACTTGTCACATTTGTCTAAACGCACACAGGTGTTCCACGTGTAAAATCGTGTTTTGTGTATTAGCATAAATTGTTCCTCATTAGCATTTTTTATCCGGTTATGTGAAATCGTTCTAATAAGTCTAAAAATTAGCGAAAATCATTCTTTTTAAACTGAGAACGTGTCTTTTCTTTCAACTGAGTGTATGTGCTCTTAGTTGCACACCCTTATCGACAACCAGCGTGCGAGAATGTGGTAAAAATGAAATTTTTGAATAAAAATGTTTGA